GGGGGGGGGGGGGAGTGGTCCCTGAACTGGGGCCTTAAACTGGGTATGAGACCCTAAATTGGGTGGGGGGCCCTCTGGGACCCCCAGGAAGCTGGGGTGGGGAGTCCCTGTGTGATCCCCCATATCCCAGGGAACCGTCCCTGGGAGCACAGACCTCCTTCCCAATGCCCTTCCACTGCCCCGTGGCCAGGGTGGGCACCGATGAAGCCCCCCAAGCGCCTCCCGCGCACACCCTACGGAGTCCTTCCTCCTCCTAATCCTCCTGCTTCCCACCCCAGCCCTGCCTGGGTTTTCCTGCCGCAAATTAGCTGTGTCATCCCAAATCCAGCTCGGAAAAGCGGGCTCGTACCGCCCTCCAGTGGCCGCAGATCGAGTGACACCCCCTGACCCCTCCAAATCCTCCTTCCCGGAAGGATTTGGGAGGCAAGAAACCCCCAAAACGAGGGGGGGCTGACTGGGATCGTGCGCAGGGTCTTTAATGCTCTCACGGGGATTTGGGAGCTTCCCGAAAAAGCCGAGGCTGGGACTCCCGGGATTTTGGGGGTCACATGTAGGGGTCATCGTTGTGCCACAGGTTGGTGGGGAGGTTGTTGGTGCTGAATCCGCTGGGACGGGGGCCCTGGACACCCTCCACGGATCTGGGAGCCCAGGTGGGACCCTGTGACCACCAGGCTGGGAAATCCAGGAGGGAAGCGTCAGTGAGGGTGGAATTCCCCCCACCCTGGTGGGGGGGGGGGCTACAATCCCACCCCACACTCACCTGGAGCGACGGGAGCCAGGGGTGAGATGTTGGTCAGGTACTGGTTGTGGATCGTGGCATATCCCGGAGGATCCTGCGGGATGGACAGATGGAGGTGGGTTGGGCACACAATCCCGTGGGAAAAGGGGCTTGGGACAGGCAGCATTCCCACAACCCACCTTCTTGCTAGATTCCTGTGGTCCCACTTGGAGCTCCAGGGGGCCGAATGGGGCATGGTGGCCCATGGCGGGCAAACCCTGCGTGGGAACAGCGGGATGAGGAGGGGACACGGGCCCATCCCACTCGTCCCATCACTTCCCGGCTGGGAGCACTGGGATACAGCGTCCCCTCCCCATGGGGGTCTTGCCACCCCCTCCCCTGGCTCACATGGCGGCTCTCGGGGCAGCAGGGATCCACGGCAGGATCCACAGGCTGTGGCAGCCGGCAGGCGTCTCTCGGGGGGCAGCTCGACGGCTCCGGCCTCCACGGCGGGGCATCTGCGGGGAGCACACGGAACATGGGTGTTCCCACTGTTCCCAGCACCATTCCCAGCCCGGAAATTACCTGGACACACCTGTGCCCCTGTGCTTGGTGTGGGGGGGTGTCTCCAACCATCCCACAACCTCCTGGGGCCAGATTTGGTTCCAGGACTGACACCGCCAAAATCCTTGGAGTTGGAGTCGGCCCTGGGACCCTTCCAAGGGATGGAGCTGGTCCAGGAACCACCAATATCCCAAAACCTTCCTGGGGATGGAGCTGAGCCTGGAATCACCAATATCCCAAAACCTTCCTGGGGATAGAGCTGGGCCTGGAATCACCAGTACCCCAAACCCTCCTGGGGATGGAGCTTATCCTGGCATCCCAACACTCCAATCTCTCCTGGGGATGGAGCTTTCCCCGAGACCCCAAAATCTGCCTGGGGATAGAACTTTCCCTGGGATCCCAACACCCCAAACCCTCCCAGGGAGCTTTCCCTGGATCCTCCCCATCCCAAATCCCTACCTGGCTGGGCAGGACTGGTGCAGCCACTCTTGGCACTGTGTTCCCTGGATAACTTGGGAGGCTTCAGCCCTTCGTAACGGATCCGGGAGAGGGAAAACTCCGGGGGATACGAACACTCCGGCTCATCCACACACTGGGGCAGGATCCTCTGGAATTGCGGGCGCCCGAAGGGCTTGAAATCCTCGGCGGTGGCAGAGATGGACACAAAGGGGTCCGGGCTGTGGCGGGAACGGCTGTGACGGAGCGATCCCAACGATTCCCCCCACCAGACTCGTCCCGGAGCAGGGACCTACCGTTCAGAGCGCGGCGTGATCAGGGACGAGAGGGCCGAGTAGTTGTTGGTGACATATCCGGATCCAGAATGGACCCCCAGGAGCGGGTGCACGGACGCCTGGTCGGGGGGTTTGACTCCCAAAACGCGCCCCTCAAACTTGTGGGGTAATCCCTGGGGTCTCTTCCCAAAGGACACCTCGTAGGTGGTGACGTAGAGGCTCAGGAGGTCGGAGCGGTCCCCGCCATGCACCCTCACCAGTGGGAATCCCGTTCCCAAGCCCCCGGCGGGGGAATCCTGTGGCAGGGAAGGCATCCTGGCACCAGGATAACCCCAGGGAAGGGCCCTACGCCATGGCTGGAGGTGCTGGCAGCGGCTCCCGGCCTTCCCAAGGGGCCCAGAGGGTGTGGAATGTTGCCGTGGAATGTGACTTGGTCTCCCGGCAACTGCGACAATGAGACTCCAGGGAGTCCCGGAGCATCGGGAATGTGGAGATTGGAGCACTTAGGGAAGGAGTACAGCCCTTCCGGGTGTGGGGTCACCTCCCTGGGAGCCCGGGAAAAGGGGGTAGGTGGGAATTAGGGGTATCAGTGGGGTGGGATGTGCCAGAGCGAGGTGGGAATGTCCCCAAGGACCAGACCCTGATGTCATAATGTAGGGAAGCAGGGCCTGCAGCCCTGGCTTTATTCAGCATTCCAGCATTCCACAGTGTCCAGAGGCTGCCAGAAGAGGAGAAGCCCAGGGAAAGCAGCAGCAATTCCACAGATCCCCATGTCCCTGTGCTGCTCCAGGGAATGGGCACAGAGGCGTCACTGCTGGGGCTCAAACAGGTATTCCAGGTCTGGCTGCCGCAGCCGCTGCTCCCTGTTCCTGTTCCTGGCGAATTCCCGGAGCATGTCCAGCACATCGTGCTCAAATTCCGCCGGAGCCGGCTTGGCTTCTGCAGGAAAACAGGGAAAAATCGGCCCCATGTTGTCCCGAGACACTCCGGAGGTCCATCCCGGTGTCCCAGGGGGAGTCCCCACGCACCAGTTGCCCAGTAATAGATGTCCCAGTCGTTACTGGGCTCGTTGATGAGCCGGTCGTAGCGGTTCAGCTGCTCCTCACTCATCTTGCCCAGGTTTTCCTTGGCAAAGAGGCTGGAAAAGGCACGGATGTGGATGGGAGGTGGGAAAAGAGGTGGGATACGATGCCCATCTCAAGGCGATCCCAGAAAACACAGACCCCCAGCCTGTTTTCTGTTCAGCTCAGTGGGTGAGAAAACACCAGCACAGCATTCCCAGAGAAGCTGTGGAATTCCCAGCCCTGGAAGTGTCCAAGGTCAGGTTGGAAAAGAGCCTGGCGCAAGCTGGGCTAGTGGAAGGTGTCCCTGCCTGCGGCACCTGTTCATCCCAAATTATTCCAGGGTTCCATGTGCTGGTTTAGATGGGATTTGGGGAAGAAATTCTTCCCCGTGATGGTGGATTTCCCAAAGAAGCTGTGGAATCCCTATCCCTGGAAATGTTCAAGTTGGAGAAGGGCTTGGAGCAACCTGGGATAGCGGAATATGGATTTGACGGTCCTTGAAGTCCTTTCCCACTCAAACTATCCCAGGATTCCAGGATTCCAACCTCTACTTCAACCCCAACATCCAAGTGGCCTTGCCTCCACACATCCCAGGATTCACACACATCCTGCAAAGTATTTGGACTCAGCCCTCCCTGGGCTCTGCTCCGTCCTCCCCACTGGATCTTGGACCTGCAAAGCCCTTGGGATGGTTTATCCCGTGGATTTTGGCTGTGCAGTCCCTCACTAAAGCCCTTCCCGCAACTCTCGGGGCTCTTCCCTGTTAATGCACCCGCCGGGATACGCCTGGAACCCATCCCACCTGAGCAGGATGCAGTTTTCCAGCATCCCCCTCTTCCTGCTCTCGTAGAGCAGCCGGGCCCTCTTGGTGTCCAGCGGCTCCTGGGGACGGTCCTGCCAGGGGGGCAGCGGGATCTCCAGCACGTCCTTCCCGGAATCCGGTGGGGAATCCCCGCGGTATCCACGCCAGGGGATCACCGGCACCGCCAGCTGCCGGCGCAGGGAGCGGAGCTGGGAACAGGGAATGCCCAGGGATGTCAGGGCCGGGACTTCCCCAAATCCTGCAGGACACGATTTCCAGTCCCAAACCACCCCAGGACTCTGCTGCTCCCAAACTCCCCTCGGTGCAGCCACATCCCATAACACCTTCCCAGATCCTGCTGCCCCCAATCCCTTATCCCAACCCCCCCCCAAATCCCTTTTTTCCCCTATTTCACCCCAGAACCCCCTTTCCCCCCTTCTTCTCCCCCTTCCCATCCTCCTCCCACCTTCCCTCCTAGACCCTCCTTTCCTCCTCCTTCCCTTCCCTTTTCCTCCCTTTCCCTCTACTACCTCCTTTCTCCGTTTTTCCCTTCCCTTGCTCCCCCTTTTTTTAACTTTCCCCGCTTTTTCCCCCCTTCCCCCAAACCCTCCTTTCCTCTCCTTTTCCCCCTTCCCTTCCTCCCTTTTTCCCCCGTTCCGCCCCTTTTCCCCTTTACCCCCAGACATCCATTTCACCATCTTTCCTCCCCCCTCTCCCTTTCCTTTACCCGCTTCTCCTCCCCGTTTCCCCTTCCCCTTTCCAATTCCCTTTCCCTGCCTTTTTTCCATGCCTTTCCCCCCCATTCCCCACCCTGGCCGCCGCCATGTTGCTCGTGGCCGCTGTGGCCCCGCCCCCCGTCTCTAATGTCCCGGGGGTGGGCGGAGCTCTGACGGAAGTGGGCGTGTCCCGAGCAGGAAGTGGGCGGGGAACGGCGGCGCTGGCGGTGAGCGCGGGCGTCGCGCGCGGGGCTGGGAACGGGGAAGGGGGGGGCCCGAAAGGAGGGGGGAGGTCGTGACCTATCGCGACTTGCCGCCCCCTCCCATCGTATCACCCCATTCCCGAACTCCCCCCCTGGATCGAGCTCCGCGGGGCCGCGTACGGCAGGGACTGGCCGGGGGGGCCGGCGAAGGGGGGGGCGAGGGGGGCGATGGGATTTGGGGGGAACACGGGGAA